GGGGGTGGGATAGGCAGTGGTGGCATTGAGGGGAGGGGGTACAGAAAATTCTGGGATGGCTGTAGCCCACCCCATAGCCCTCCTTCCAATGCCACCACCCACCCCACCCCTGCCTGCCTGCATTGAGCGCAGCCCTGAGCCAGCCCCCACCAGGAAGAGGCCTGTGCAGCCCCTGGCCCCAAGCCCGCAGCAGGCAGCCCGCCCTCACTCCACACACAAATCCAGGGGGCACAAGGCTCCCATGTCTCTACCGGGGGTGGGCACAGCAGCAGGAGTGCCTGCTCCTGACTCTGACCCACTCCCCTGCTCACTGTGGGGGCCTCATTCTGCCTCCCCATGCCCCTTCCCTCCCCCCTGCCTCCCCACAAACTTACCGGCCAGATGCTGCTCTCCAAGCTGCCAGGCTGCATTCCTGTAAATAAGCTATCAGATCAGTATCAGCTGATATGGCTGGTTAATAATTGGCCATGGGTATCAGCCAAGAAAATCTTTATTGGTGCATCCCTAGATATTAGGAAAAACCCTCTCACTAGGAGGGTAGTAAAGTGCTGGAACAGGTTGCCCAGAAGGTGGTGGAATCCCCATCCTTGGACATTTTTAACACCCAGCTAGACAAAGCCTTAGCTGGGATGATCTAGTTGCAGACTATTCTGTTTTGAGCAGGGGGTTGGATTAGATGACCTCCTAAGGTCCCTTCCAACCCTCATTTTCTATGATTCCATGATGATATTTATATAATGTATTATCCCCAGTCCATTTTCCCTTTCTCATGCAAGTAGCCTGGTTAAAATAAGGAAAGGAACCACACAATAATCCCCATACTTTGCAGTGAGTTTGGGAGGGCACAGGCAAAACCATGGGATCCATAGATTTTCTAAACAACGACGGCCTTCTGTGAGTGTTTATTTGAAACTTACAATTCATCTGCTCCAAGACACAACAGCTTGAGAACTGTAAGCAGTCTCCAAGATGGCCCATCCCATCCAAACGTCAAGTTTCTAAAAATGCAAATTAACCAAAGGAAGAACATATGAGCAATGTTTATAGTTGTGTGCCCTTTACAGACTGATCACATTGCAAAGCAGTAACAGCCAGACTTTTGCCCAGTGGCAGCATCCTCTTATCTCCATATATAGCTGGCAAGAGGCAGAAGAACTTCCTTTTCCCTGCTGATTCCCACAGCCAGAAGACTAGGTGGTCCCACTGCCTTCTGCTGAACCTTGACTCTGATTTTTAAATTTCATTTGTCTTTTATCTTTTAAATGCTTTGCCAAAATCAAAAAAAATAATGCATATGTATCTGACCAACTCATTTTCTTGAAGTTAGAAAAAAAGCAGTAATCTTTATTTCAGCAAATAAACTAAACTTTAACATGCACACATACCAATACTTACTCCAAAAAGCCATGATCCTTTAGAATGGAAAGTTTTGTATTCCTCTTCTTGTCCCCTGGAAAGAGGCATTTAAGAAGAGTATCTGAAAAAAATATATATTTAAAAGTGTTTCAATAAACAATTAACAGGGAAAACAACCAACTTGATTTCTAAGTGTTTTATCATACTGTAGTAATAAATAATTTCCCAACAGAACATCACGTAAAGACAAGCCACTGCCATGCTCTGAAGAGCTTTAATAGAGATTTGATTTGATTGCATATTGCAAGTGTTTCGCATCTCAAAGGAGCACCCAGCCACCAACCGAGTTCTTAAAGTGGTATCCTGGCTTAACTGATGTCAACAGCAAAACTTCAAAGCAGGCAGGATTTCAGCCTTA